CCTTTCAAAGTCGCAAGCGACGACACACTATAGTTTCACTCAACCGTTAAATAAAAGCACGTAAATTCAAGACAACACCTGTACGTGGTACGCCCCTCTCTTTTTGATTTCTCTTCCATTACCTCCCGTGTGGCGCGATGATGATGTTGCCGGTGGTCGATCACGTTGGACCGAATTGAGTTTCCCAACCACGTCCCGTCCATCGGTTTCCCGCGTCCCTCTCGACCCGCGCCGTCGACGCGTGTATACCCACACCAGTCCGTGCGAAGTTTCCGGTGTCAGGATCCGTCGTCGAGTTTCCTCTGCCCTGGCTTGAAAAACGATGGGCACGAGATCTGGCTTTGTAGCTCTGGTTTTTTTCTACAAGCTCAATACATCGGATTCACTTGCATTTCATCAGCCAATAGCAACCAAATCGAAGTGCGCTATTTGGTGAGAAGATCTCTTTCGTTTGAAGTTGGCAATCTGAGACTCGGCTGATCTTTATTCCCAGCGAGGTGCTTCATTGGGTGGTGTATCTCTGTTTTGATCCATAAATAACCAGCTTGAGCTCAAAATCACAAGAAGGATACTTATACGTAACACGTATCCGCACAGTAAAGAGTCGAAAAAGACTGAAAACTCCCGAACTGGCAACTATAACAATGAAACGCTGGTGAGAAAGGATATTGTAAGTATATATACTATTAGCTGGAAACAATGGGTTACCACATCTAGATTGAAGCGAGAGAGACTTATACCTATATTACAAGCGAGAAGGATAAAAAGAAGGCTGCGCGTTGGTGGTCGAATCCCTGGGCTCTCTCTGAGGGATTACCATTTGATTTTGGTCTGGAGAAAGTGGAGGTACTAGATTACGCTGCTGAAAACTCTTTTTTACCACTTTTTTCTTTTTTCTTTGACCAACAGTGGGTTTATTACTCGTTCAAGGTTTTTCTGTGTTCCTCCAGTTCCATAACCATGGCCATTTTGGAATTTTTTACGACTACGGTTCAGGTAACTTGCCGGGAATTAGGGTTCCATTGATGATTTAACAACATGGTCGAAGTAAAAATAGTCAACAGTTTAACGGTTCAGTGAATATTTAAGATTACGGGTAATGAGGAAAAAAAAAAAAAAAGGAAAAACAAGGATAACTGAATAGACACCCACGTATCTAAGCTGTAAATTGTCCCCAATGTCACAAGTTCTAGGACCAATAAACATCTTATTCCTTCGGACCAGTAGGTACAGTAGACCAGCAATCTTTTCTCTACTTTTCTTTAGCGAAACGGTCGCTAAATCGAAACGTCGTTGCACCGGACAACTCCGTAAGTACTGTAAACCTTGTGCGTTCGTGCGGCCACTCGCTCGAGGATTCGATACCCGGACACTCGATACCGTCCCTCCCCACCCGAGCACTAGACCATCGATCAAGTCGATCTGCCGTGCACTGGGTTGTTTTTTTTTTTTTTCGCTGCTTCCGCGTGTATTGTGCCTGTCCCGCCTTGGCTGCGCAGTAAAACGAGATTGCCTTTTACGTCTCGGCTTACCTGCCTCTCCGGGGCAGCCTCGCTCCGTCTCATTTCGCGTGCATCACGAGTGTCGGGGGAAGAGACGAAACCCACACTCGACCACCACCGCGAGATGTGCGATAAAACCTGATCTGTTGAAAATAACCCGTGTTTTTATTGCTTTTCTCCGCTCAGACAGATTGGATGGCAAAACTCCAGGACTACGCTAAGTAGGTACACTTTTTTTTATGATGACGGCGATTCTCCAAAGTAGACACCTGATTTCTCTCTCTCTCTCTCTATCATCGTTAGATTTCACAGAAAAGTATTAACAATCAAACGACATCAATGTCCCTTTTCATCTCTGTCCCTCCCCTACCCTCCCAATGAAAGTCGGCTGGATCGAATAAGTAACAATGGCCATCGTCGTCAAACTGAATCTCTCGGCGCACGTCCGTGACGTCGGAAGTCACGCAGCCCATATAATACCAGCCTCCGTGCTCTTTAGCATTGTTAAGGCGTCGTCGCTCTGTGCCTCATTCGCTTGCGAGCATCGGTGTGTACACGTGTACGTATATAACCACATTCGCACGGTGCATCGTTGATCAACACACGCGCGTAAGACTGCACCTGCACATGATACACCCAAGCCACCGAGACGTTGCATAATCAGCCTGATGTGCATGCCGTTTGCAGAGAAAGGGGAAGCCAGGGAGTACGTCGAACTTGCTTTTGTAGACTACCTTTCTTTACTCTTGGATAAAACAAGGCGTTTGTCCAATTGACACGACGATCTTTACTAAAAACTAAAGCCACGAGTTGGTGATGCCACGCCAAAGTGTCCCTTATTTTCATACCTGAGTACGTACTTTTAGAAAATTGCCTTCCAGGATTAGGCAACAGAGTTCGCGAGACGTCGATAATCAAAGTGATTAACGCGGCGCAGTGGACCGTTATACCCGAGTCTCTTTGTGCTGTTCATTGCTGTATACCATCTGTATGTCTGGTAAAATCTTGATGTAAATTTACCATCGTATGTCGTGGCAAATGATACACGTGTTGTAATTTGCAGTACACGATAGTGTTACAGGGGTTGACGTTCACAGCGATCCCTAGAACTTGACAGGTGTCAGCCTTTCAATCCATCGGATCCGAAAGTCAAGCTCAAGACGAGTATATAGAACTGTTATGTGTGTGTGTGTGTACAACAGAGAAGGTCATTTGGTAGCACCTAATTTAGTCCGGGTAGGGAGAAATTACACGCCGGAAGCCTGTGCGTACCTCGAGAGTTCAGTATGTAAGTGTGGCCGAAGCTCGAGAGCGGCCTCTCATCGTGTAAAACGCACTACGCATGACATAACGAGACTGATTGGCCCGTTGTCCGGACGCGCATAAGCTGATGATTCTTTACACTTTTTTTTTTTCTAAGCGGATGTTACTATATTCGAGTGTTTTGAAACCTGTGGTGTTTTTAGAGGTCAGCGAGGAAGGTAGACAAAAAACTTTATTTATCACGTTGCACTTGTTACAGAAAACAAATTTCTCCCCAGGAATAGAGTAAATTTTCAAAATGATTTCCTACATGGTATCGAAATACGTGTTTCAAATCATCTCAAAGTCAACACTAACACTGTATATATTCATGCTACCAAAATGAAGCTACACTAAGAGAAACAAAAAATTACTGTGCTAGAATAATTATTTGTATGGTATCATTCCGCCGTCGAGGGACTTTTTACTTTGAGCCAACCTAATTTTTACCATTCCGGACAGTAATTTTTCTTGTACAAACAGTCAAAACTGTACTTACAAACAAAAATTACTATTCCAAAATCATCATTCAAATAGCAAAAAGTCTCTAGACGACCGAACAGTACCAGATTATCATTCTAGCACAGTAATTTTTTTTTTCTCAGTGTATCTCAATGAAACATTCTCACTGACTTTCTCGAATTTAAGGTAAAACTCGCGGCTGTTACGAGCTCGGTTACGAGTACCACTGGCGCCCAGCGTAATTTTGTCAAAGGAGCATACCTTTCGCTTACATGTTCATATTGATGATAACAAAATCTCTAAATTTTGGTACGACCATTATTATGTTTCAACAGTAAAAAAAAAAAAAAAAAAAAAATACACAAATGCATAGCTGCATCAACACTCGAGCACCCATCGACAAGTATAGCCTGTAGTTGTTTGACTCTCGTAATCTAATGACGGGCAAGTAATTGCCCTGCAAATATTGTACTTTGGGTCACAATTGATCTGTTGGCATTACTCATCAGCCGCAGACCGAATACTTACTTCAAACGGAATTATGACGTCTTGTATGCATACCTATACGTAGACTTAGCTACAGGTATTATTTACACTCGCAGTATTCAAATTTGAATGGATAAGCTAGACTCGCAGAGGTATGTAAATACCGAAGCCAAGTGAGCTTACATGTCCTACGGGAAAAGTCGTAATCTAGCGTTACAACGTCACCTTAGAGGAATTCAGAGGGTGTGGGACGCGTAGCACAAAAGTAGATGTGTAAATTAGCGTTTGAGCTCGGGTACGCGTGTATAGAGGTATAGCTTAGGCCATTAGGTCAGCGGACAATAGAGGGCTGGGATTCTCTAGCAGTACAATATCTGCATTGTATTAAAAGTTTTCGGTTCCCTTTCTGTCCTCGTTTTTAAAATACTTTCCACTGGTGTTTATTGTTTATTGGATGCAAGGGAAAAATTTCATTGTTCCAGAAAAAAGTTGTAAAACGCTTGTCATTGTGCCAAATGTAAAAGTTTCGATTTTCCTTTGTGTATTTTCCAACCTAAAGAATATAGAATTCGACGTTTTTCTACTCGTCATGTAGACTGTGACATCAATATTAGGAAAATTCTTTGAACCCATGACATCAACATTCCTCATTGTCAACCACCTTGTAGAATTGTCGAAAGATTGTGATGGATAAGTGATGTTTTCGTGTCAATTTAAAATCATGTTTTTTTTTTTTTTTTTTGCAAAAAAACTATGAAATTCTTGAAAAAATATGGTACTTTTCTGGCCAGTACTTGATCTTTTTTTTTTTTTTTTTTTTTTTTTGTCAAATTTACAAATCAAGTCTACAAACTACAATACTTGAGTATACTATTATTATATACACACATGTGCACGTACCAAATGTAACCATGAAACTACTATATCTAGTACGACAGAAAATAGTTAAATTCCTAAATATATATTTATGTACACAACAATTGTACAACTTTTTTTTATCAAATATACTCAGTTCTATGCATGATCATCAATAATAATATTACATTATACACATTTCAATCATATACAGTTAATCTAATGGTGGTGTTGGCTTGAGATGAGTTGTACCGTAAGATCTACACGCGATACAAACTATTCATACAACTTACTCGACAACTCTCATCTTTCGCCAGCCACACAACCTATAAATGATAATAATAATAATATCACAGTAAACGTCATAGGAATGCAAAACCAAAGGTAACTCACCCCAACAGAGCAGACTCCTCGGCACTGGCTGCGGTCGGCATCTTGTGTTTTTCCCTAAAACAAAACGGATGTCGGGGATAATCACACAGGTGGCCCTAACGTTAATCAGTAAACTTTCTGAGCTTTGTCCTTTTTTTTTTTTCCTCTAAAGTAGATAAATAGACTACCGTCACCCTTTTTTCTAATCTACTGAATATACACTCACTTGGTATTCGACATACACTCGATTGTGTTTTTTTTTTATTTTTTATTTCTACGTCATGCCATGATGCTTGTGCTAAACAAACCAACAAAAAGCTCGAAAATCGTACACTTGTTCATGCAAAGCAACATTCATAAGTTGTAGATATTACACGAATGTGCAAGCATAACGTGTCACGGATGTAAATACATAAAAGAGAGACATACAACGATGGACGTGAATGAAAAAGTCACGAGGGTTGAAATTTTGATTCTCGTTCCTAAGTGTGTCACGATCTATTGTGTTTGATGTTTCATGAGAAGGCTTTTTTGTCATGTATGCGTGTGTGTATGTGTGCTCCTTTTATCAAAAGCTCAGTGAAAATTCAAAAGCCGCCGAAGAACTCTGGACACACACTTACAGGTTAATGTTTCGCTCGAGTGCATCATCTGGAAGATAAAAAGTGGAACGACACGCGCCTGAAAGGTGGTGCTGTAACATCGGCTTTTCTTTTTCTGAAAGATGCTGTCATTGTCGCGTTGGGGCGCTAAGCTGTGTGCTTTTCTCTTTCCTAGACACGGATGGACAAGAGAATTGATAAAGAAAAGCTCGTCGTGTATATATATACGAAGAAAAGTGGCGAACGAACGGGAGCTCTCGAGACGCGAAGTTTGCCCAGCATCACGTTTTGCTCTCGATTCGGGCCTGTTTTTTCGCATATAGGTCATACAGCACCGGTGGCTCGGAAAATTTTTCCCGCATCGCGCCTTTTTTTTTTTTTTTTTTTTTTTTTTTTTCGTCCATTGAACCAATTCCATACCATACAGGTCTTTCAATGGGTATTCTCTCGGCGCACAAAAGTTGCCAACTGCGCGACTCGATTTGCCGAGTCGAGCTTTTCTACGGCCGCGAATCCAAATGAGAAAATATTTAGCAAGAGAGAAAAACATTGGCCTGCCGAGAGATTATTTAGAGGCACTATTGGGGAGCTATTTGTTTAAGCGACGTAAATTCGAATTAAAAATTTAATGCGCCGAGGGAGGCTGGGCAATAAATTCAGGGGGGGGGGAAGGGGAAACTTCTTCGGGAGAGCAGCTCTATAATTCAGCACCGCTACTGCGGCACAGGACTGGGCCAAGGAATTTCGGGCTCTCCCGAAGAAATCCCTTGGCAGCACAGTTTATCCTCCTCCCCCCCCCCCCCTTTGGCATGACCTTCTTAGAGCGATAACCCGCTACGAGACAAAAGAGACTACATGCACACACAGCTGAGAACTCAACTTTGAAAGTTCACTTAGCTCGTTGACAATAACACGCATTTATTCCATTGCGACAAAAATATTGCATCGCTGCACCATCGTGCGATTCATACGTTTGTTGTTCTAAGATGCTCCCGTGGGTAACAATAATCTTTGGGGAGCTATGAATTAAACAATACGTGGATACATATGTATATGGATACGTGTGCATACAGAGCGAAGCAAGCGCAAAGCAAAGGAAGCGTTCGGAGAACAAGCAAGCAACAAAGCGACAGCGTGACACCGTGTGCATTACTTCGATTGCATTGTTATATACCTACGTGTGTACAGCCGGTATCAGTATATAATATGTAGCAGCAGTGGCGGGGGCGCCGTCAGCTTACCTTGGCCACGTCAGCTGCGTCGGCCTGCTTTTCGTCCTGCAGCGAGTGAAGGAGCCTCGCGGAGAGAGAGAGGAGGATCGATATGCCGCCTCCTTCGCCCCGCGGCTCTCCAGCATCCGGTCCTAGAAACTCTGGGTGCCCTGACGCAAACGAAATTTTTCGCCCTCCCTCCCCCTCCAACTCTATATGCACATATATGTATCTCTCTGACCCTTTTCCTCCCGTTCCCTCCACCCACCCGGGGCACGAGACGTACACAGCAGTGACGCGTCATCCTTCCTCTCTCTATGCATGTGCATGCATCTCCTTCTGCTGCACGTACATACATATATACGTGTGTTTGCAGGTACTGGTCTTGCGCCTATAAGCCGGCTCGAGTTGAAAGGCCTTTCGCGAACAATGGTTGGGCTTTTTTCCCTCTTGTTTGCTTTCTAATGGAGATGGAGCACACGGCGTCTCGTCGTTGCCGGGGTTATTAGAGTGATGTTGCAATAGTCGAGCGTGACTTTCACCGGGATACTTATATCGTGGCGTGTATCGGAAGGATTTGCACGGTGAGCGTCTGGGACGTTTTTTTGTTGAACCCACCGTCTTTGACGATATGTTTAAATGACTAGGATGGTTTTCCGAGAGCGAAAAAAAACCCACCGTATTCGCTCGGCTCGATAATTTTATTTCCAACAAGTGGTAAAACCATCGTCCCGATTAAGCGAAGTTCCGCCCCAAAAAACACCAGTGTTGCGTCCGTCTCTTTTTTTCCTCTCTTTCATTGCCAGCTGTTAAGCCGGTAAAAAGTCCGAAAAGCTGTAGCAACGGTGCCGCGCTGATTTATCCTCCCCACGCGAGACACGTATAATCCAAATACAAAGCCCCCCACCCTTTTCACCTAATACACTCGCCCGCCCAAACTACCCCCTTTAGAGCCAAGTTGAAGCTTGCAGGTGTAGCATCGCGGGCACAAAATAGATGAGGTGGTATAGTAAGTAATACCCGGTGATTTACATTTCGATCGATATTCAAGAGCACAGGGCTGACGAAGGGACAACCGTTTCATCTCGAGAGCCGCTTATCGAGCACAAAAAGCCACCCTTTGTGTAGAATCTCGTTCGAAAGGGAGAAAAAGGGTATCTGTTTCAAGGGTCTCCGTATATAGAGAGAGGGAGAGGAAGAATCGCGCTGTCAGCTGTTTGCTCTCTCCATTTGGCTACGATATATAAGTGTACCATCACCGAGTGTGGAATCATCAGCTTCAGGCTTCATTTGTTTCCCCCGTTTGTGCGACTGAAGGAAAAACCACCGCGTCGGTCTCGCTGATGCGTCGTCCGGAGTTCCCATAAGCTTGGTTGGTTTGTTTTTCGAAACAATGTTATTGCCAGCCGAAACACTACCAGTGTGGCCCTTTGGAAGCAATAAAGGCCTGGAAAATGATTCTCTCGAGAGGCGTAGGTAAGTGCGCGCGGCTGAAATTTCCCCCTGCAATTAGGCGAGTTCAACGTACGAACAGCCTCGTTTCCATATCGATTTCTTTCGCGAGACTCCGGGGGGAGGAATATATACCCGAGACACGCGAAAGCCACTGAATCGGCTTTTTGAATCGAGGACCGTACGGCTATTTGGGCCCCTGCACCGCAACCAAACGCTCCATTTGCACTAAACCACGGATCCATGGAGAGAAGAGGGGATAACCCGGGAGAACCAGGAATGAATGAAATCAAGAAGTAAATGCACAGAAAGATCAAGGAAAAGAAATAAGATATTGTTAGATATTGAGTGAAAGTTAAAAAAACAAATGCCGGCCTCCACCGCGAGTGATGATGTTGCAGCGTTGACAATTCCACAAAATTTGAGATAGGACTCCTTAGAACTGAAAATGTACCGTTGTCGAGGCTGGGGACAAATTTATTCATTTTTCACGTGCCTCGCGAAGAGACCGTATGTAAAAAAAAAACTTCAACTTTTTATAGGGTGATGATTTTTGTTAACAACTTGTATACTCTCAGAGGCAGGTGCGTGACGAATATCTTTGTCTCAAAGTCCCTCGGAAACGTTTGTTTTTCAATTCCCAAGGACTCTTAGCTCAAAAGCTCTTGTTGTGCCATCGTCGAAGGATGAGCGCAAGGTAATTATAACCCACACCCGTAAGCAAACTTGAAATGGTAAAAAAAAAAAAAAAAAAAGGAAAAAGAAAAAAAGTGAAGGAAAAAAAAGGAAGTGGATGGGGGGCCTATTATTCTAACAACAGCAACAAGAACAAGAACAGCAGCAACGAAGAAGATGGCTACGAGGAGGGCTCGGCTTACCTGGTGACGATGGACACGCTCTCGCGTCTGTCGACGATCAGCGGCTCCTTCTTCCTGAGCGCGAGCTCGATCTTAGGCGCGGCAAAGCTGAAGGCCTTTTTGACGCTCTCGAGCACGCTCTGGCTGGTTGTTTTGGTCTGCTCGACGATGGTCGTGCTCTTGTAGACGTCCTCGCCCAGGTCCCCGAGGGACCGGTACGAGGCCCCAATACCCCCGGCCGGCATGGGTGCAGCCGCGGCGGTGGCGTCCCGGCGCCTCCGTACCTCCGAACGGCGCCAACTCCGCCTGTCCCGCCACTCCCTCCGCGGACTCGCGGCTCCCGGGTGATCGGCGCTTCCTCCGAGGGTCGTCCTCTTGTCGTTTGCTCCCCCCGAGTCTCTCGAGGACTCGACCTTGCGACGAGAGCGTGGTGGTGGTGCTGGACGGCCGAGCTCAGTGATTCTCTTTGAATTTTGCGGGTGCACGCGCCGTTTTGTGTCTCTATCTCTTTTTGGGGTCGGTGGTGGTGTGTTGGTCGGTGGTGTCTTTTGTATCAGCTGCGCGCGTGCTGCGAGAGACAGTGTGTGCGTATGTGTGCTGATGGGCATACATTAGGCTCTTGCTGTATTTTATATTGGTACGCTTGTTGATGCGTCGATCGTGTGAGTTGGTTATTATGGATTGATTCGTGTTTTTTTTTTTCAGAGCTCTCGAGCTTTCGTGGTGATTTATGACGACGTTGATGTTTAGCCAGCCGTTCGCGGGATGTGCGCACTCTGCGACTGTACAATAACGTCTCTGATATTTCTTGTCTTGGACGAGTTCTACTGTTTTTTTTATTTGCATGATACTCGAAGGATGAAAAAAAAAAACTGGTGTAAACTGCAGGGAATTTAAGTTGAGCGGATGAAAAGAAAATACGTATTTGGAGTCTTTCGTCTGACACGTGTTTTTGTGAAGAAAAAAACAAAATTACAGTAAAAAACAAAAGAAAGTCTGTCGTCGCGCCTCTTTCGTTCGATATTTTTTCACGCGCTGAGCAGAAAAAAAAACACCACAAAAGTAGAGGATGAACTCGTAGTGAGCAATGACAGAAAAATAAAAGAATTTCCGGCAGTGCAAAAAAAGTATGCACTGCATCTAAGCAGAGCTTGCGGGTTTACAAGATACAGAGGGTTCGGATACAATGTGTATGGTATATATTTATACAGTCGCAGAGCCACATTGCACGAGAGAGGCAAAACGATGACGAGATGACGGTGCGGTGTATGGACGAGATGAGCTTTCCAGGCTAGTGATTTTGGCGAGCCGTCACGCGGCGTTTCTTTCTTCCCTTTTTTTTTTTTTTGTTTTTTGATTTTTTTTTTTTGCGCATGCCACAAATAATACATATATTATTTCATACACATACACCTATACATAACGTGTAAACATCTAGTGTGCGAATGCTAAAACAAATGCACATTCAGAGAAACGCAGCCACATGCTGCTGCGTCATGCCACTTGCAAATTTAATACCTTGTGCAACATATTGATGAATTGAAAACAACATTGTATATATATATATTGAACGAGAAAAAGTTGGTCCTTTCTTCATTTACACAATGGTACAAAAAACAAACATCTATAGATACTAATACTAAGTTAGTGTTCGTGTAAGTGTGGTACAGTTTTTGATTTCTTCATTGTTATTGCACCTATCGGAAAACGTTGGTTTTTTTTTGCCCAGCTACGTATGCCTCTATGTTGGGATACTACACGTTTATATAGCTGAACACGTATCTGCCACGATATTTGAAACGAATGAAAAAGCATGACCTGGTTTTTAAAATCTCCGATATTTCCTTGTAAGGTCTTTATTTGCTCTGCGGGCACTTGTATAAAAATACCCGTAAAAGCCACCCATACGTAAGCCGCCTATCTCAGGACTCGCGCGTTTCGTACGCACGAGAGAGGAAACGCAACGATATATTAATTTTCCTAATGGATACCGCGTTCCCCCGTGACAAGCGGACCACGTTTTATTACATCTCAAGGTTCTCCGCCAAACGACAGTGTATTCGTATCTGGTGCAAGTGACTTTGCGACAAAGGATCTCTTTATTACTATCTGTCATCTATGGTTAATCGAGATGCATCGGAAGAAAAAAAAGTATGCTATTACTGCTTCGCGTGGAAAAACTCGACGAGACAGAAGTACAAAGTACAGAAAAAATTAAAAAAAAAAAAAAAAAAANCACCGGACAACTCCGTAAGTACTGTAAACCTTGTGCGTTCGTGCGGCCACTCGCTCGAGGATTCGATACCCGGACACTCGATACCGTCCCTCCCCACCCGAGCACTAGACCATCGATCAAGTCGATCTGCCGTGCACTGGGTTGTTTTTTTTTTTTTCCGTTATTGGCGTGCGGACATTTCAAAAAAAAAAAAAAAAAAAAAAAAAAAAAAAAAAAAAAAAACATGTACGCAATCGATAAATCACTCGTGAAAATCCGTAGGCCGAAAAAATTAATTCACCTTACTGGTTAATCGAAGGTCGCTCCACCTTTCTCTCCAACCAGCGTTTTTTATTTATTTATTTTTTTTGTCTTTTGCTCCTGAGATGTGTATCACTCGACCTCAGCGAATCGGGGCGCTGAAAACAACCTCCTCGTCGTCATCATTGTCGTTGTCGCTATGCTGATGTAAAAAGTTATTTTTCAACACGCGTCTCGAGTTATCTTTCATTGTCCGTGATTTTTCTCTCTATCAAGTCCCCAATTGATTTATTGGTGGTGCGAGGATTCGTGTGGGCTACTGACGAAGGATCTTTCGGGGATAAACAAAATTTATTACAACCGTATTCTTAATTTTCAAAGAATATTTTGAGTAAACATTAGTGCCAAAAAAATATTACCAATACTTTTTCTCTGAAGCCTAATGGGCGACCCAATTATTTTGGTGGCCCAATTAATTATACATGTTTCCAGAAATCTATTCAATTATGAAGCTCAACGAATAATGGAGGTTACTTGGCTATCAACAATGATAAACTAATTACTTTACGGTCGCATCAAAGCTCATGAATATTCTTCCGTGCACGCTAAAGCACTTTTTTTCCTTTCATTGCGAATGATCTAAGGTTGTAAAAAATCTTGTTTTCCAAGGGTGAAGTTTAAAAATAAATGGGAGCACGTGCAGCGAGGCGACGTAAAATTCTTAGGCTACTGCCTTAAAATTCAAGGCCCCCGGTTGATCACGTTTTTTTTTGTTATCATAATGTAAATTTAATGATCTCCTCTCTCGTCTATTAGCGTTTCTCGTTAACATTTTATCTAAGTTTATTTATAGAATTGTGTGTCATTTAAAAAAAAAGTATTGGCAACCTAAAAAAAACCCGTTTTGGCTGTTTTTTTATCCCGAAAAACGCTAAAGGATCATTTGTATTTGTATGATCAATTCATATGAAAAATGTTCGTTATTTGGTGCCGAAATTCCGGAGGAACTGCATTTATCTTTAGGTTCATCTTATCGTGTTTGAGATGCTTTCACACACTCAAATTGATCTTGTTTTCCTCCAAGTTTGCTTTTCGTTCGAAAACAAAGGTAAATATTATTAAAAATCAATTCACACGATCCAAGAAAACAAAGAGCAAATATTGGTGAATGAACACTTATCAGTTTTATTATTTCCTCTTTACGTAAATCTTATCTCAGATCCGATATCGTTCAACTTCCCCCCGAGACATCTAATAAACTGACATTAGGAATCCTTAAAAAACAATAACGTCCAACCAACGGTCGCGATAAGAAATCTTTGAACCGATACAGCTAACTCATCATTTCACGAGACACGTTGTTTTTCGCGTTGACTAAACGTACTATCCCTAATATAGGGCCAAACGTGATTTTTTTTTGTCTCCCTAACAAGCAATCGATAGAATCAACGTCACACTCCTAAATTGGATGCTATACATTTTTGTGCGCAACAACAGAGCTCGCACAGCTCGTTAAATCTGATGTATCTCGAGCCAGAAGCTTCAAGAAAGCCCTCACGTGGTAAGCGCATCCTTGGATCAAACAGCAATTTTCCGTGAAAAGCGAAACAAGCTCTCGAAACAGGGGTGGCGGGGTTTTCCATAATTCCACCCACGCAGTCCCCATTAAGATCATAATTTTCACGCTCGCGGGGAGCAGCAAGGATGCGTGGGGGGGGGGGAGAACGAAGGGAAGTTTCGCGCTTGGTGAGTCCTGGCGCGTAACTCGATTCGCCGCCCCGCGCACACATAGGTACCTACACGGAGAGGATGGAAACTTCAAGTGCCGCCGCGCACGTATAGTCCGGGGAGAGACAGAGAGGGTGGTTGGTGCACATAGCTAGGGTGACCTCGAACTTTCGTACCACCTCTCTCTCTCTCTGTTTCACCCTTTCCCGCTCCATCTCGCGTTCTCTCCCCCCCCCTTTCAACTTTATCGATTCACCCCCTCCCCAGCACCCCCGTTTCCATCGCGGAATCGCTACTTTTCTTCCGGTTCATTCCAGTTTCTGCATCGTTCTGCTGTTCTGCGATTTTTTTTTCTCCCCGCGTTATCTTCCTCGCCCCTGTGCTTTTCTATGATACATCTGTGTCGAAGCTCTAGATTTTCCCTCATGGGCGACGTGCTTATTCGAGCCGTGGAGCTCGATACGCAAGGAAGGGGCTTCCAGTGCACCAGTGACAGGTTGTTACGTGTACTCGCGATACTTTCATGTATTGCAGTGATTTTAATTTTTTCAAAAAAATAATTGTACTCTCATAGTCAGAGATAATTCAATTCAATGATAAAAGCTCCTAGGCATCGACGTCAAAACTTCACATATTTTCGCTGTCTCTTTGAAACCCTTGTCTGGCATGAGTATTACAAATGTCTCAAACTCAAATATATTATCTACCTGCAGTCACGAGATCTTCTCTCTCTACCAACCGAATTGTACGTCAACCACACGGTTTTGGGATAAAAATGGTTCGGCTAGTTTAAATAAATAAAATTTACGCGATGCACGAATCTTTTGCAAAATAAACGCACGCGTCATGGCCCGATCACATGTTTACAAATCAACCGTGGCTCCCTCGCGAAAACAATCAAAATCCCCTTAAAGGTATTTCTGATTTGTAAATTTAAATTTCATTCCACTTTCTCCCGAAACGGCACTCAACTATCCTCAACGATCGACAAATCCGTGCAACAAAACCACACCAATCAAACAAGAAGAAAAAAAGACCATCCCTCAACTCATAAACCCATTGTCTCTCCACACGCTGTGCAACCTGAGATTACGTTAGAGTATAAAAAGCAAGGAACAGAAAAAACAGCTGTGGTGCATTATCACGGCGTTACTTACACCCTCGCGAAAAAGCTGCCGCACACGTACGTACGTAATGGCCCGTTTTTACATTGTACTTCTCGCGTCGTTTCCGCGTGTTGTACGTGGCTGTGCTGTTGTTCGTATTGATTTCTCACACATGAGCTCTTTTACCTGTACACCCTCGACCAGAGTCGGTGGTAGGTAGTATGGTAGCGGCGGCTCGTCAGGAATCGAGGTTAACTCGGGCCTATCACCCCCGCACTAAGACTATACAGACTTTATGCACGTACGTCCGCGTCTACTTTGACTTTAAGCGATTTTTTCCATGTGTACTACCGTTGGAGCGATAAGTTTTGTTGATTTGTTGTCTTTGTGGGACGCAAATGCTATACCTACTGTTTGTCGTTTCAGAGGCATTTAATTATCGAGCGAGGGCACATGCGCCCAAGTTTAAATTGCATCGCGGTCGAACGGCTGGACAAGTGGCAATTAAGGGGTGCCGAGTTCGTTCGGACCTCGGCGGGCGACCGGTTATTTTGGTAAAATCGAAGTCGCGAGTCAAGGTTTTCGCAGATGCTTATGGGATGATAACACTAACGCTATCGACTTGGTTAGCAAGATGTTATCTCTACGTTGCGGCAAGACCTTCTTTTCTGATTACAGATCACCGGTTGTGTAGTTTTCACGTTTCTGTCGGTGGTGGATTCAATCATTGTCAATTTCTTCTTTTTTTTTGATGGATTTCGAAAAAGCAAAGTTACAATAGACGAGAGCGAGCTTTAGGGGATGAAAGTTTTTATTTAAAAATCATGTTTTAATACACGTTTGTGCTGTTACGTATTCGACCTTACCACCGATACAATGATGAATTGATACTGTACACGTTCGGATTATTAAACCAGGTTAAAGGTCTCTGAACGAACCAAGAGAATCAAGCTTATGCTCTGATTTATCAGAAAAAGCTTTCTTGATGCATCCACATGTATTTTTCATGCTCCCGTCAAATATTCATTACTTTGGTCGAATGTAACGTACACTTGTAGTCACTTCGATATTTTTTGTAAGTGAAAAAAAAAAAGAAATCAATAATGGCCGAGTAAGTTTCATCGTGCAATATAATACACACAAGCATAAAAATCGTTTTTCCATTCAGGTTGACTTCACTTTTCCATTCGCTCAAAAATCGATACGATAAGGAGACAAATTACTCTGTAGCGCAATTAAATTTAATTATTCCATTTCCTCGATCATCGCGCTTTAAACACCAATTCCCGCCATCGACATCAATTTCATAAATAATCCGCAAGACAAAACAGCATTTCCTGCCAATTAATACCATTTATATTTTGCAATGAGTCACATTCCGCCCCAATAACCCAGCACAACTCGTGTACCGATCAATCGATCGAGATCCCGACAACCCCTATACTCGGAACGCACCTCGTCATTAAACGCGCAGGTGCCCTCCCACAGATATTATTCAACCAGCATAAATGACAACAACAACGACGACGGCAAGGAGACCCGCATACATGCTCGTAAGTGTACGAATCCAGAAATCCCGCACCGATCGATTTCCTAGCGGCTGGGCGGCTTTGTGGAGCGCACACGAACATAATACGCTCGATGGGCGCCAAAGCGGCACATATATAATGTCTATGCACAATATAGAGCGGACACCTATGTGTATACATGTATATATATTTTTTTAATATAGCTAGCATAGTGGCAGCAGCACAGTGGCAGCGCATAATCGCGATTGTGCCAATGATTATAACACATATACGTATATATATGTACGTATGCAAGAGGTCTTGCCGAGAGGCGAAATTTTATTTGATTAAACGTAATTTGCGTATACAGTAACAAAAAGTCGCAGCAGAGCAGCAGCTGGTTTAATTAATTAAACAATTTGTTCCATCGAATTACCCTTTTGTCAAATTATTGCGTGTTTACGCAGTAAAANGGGTGAATAAACGATTGATGTGTTACGATTTATTAATTTATACAACTACTTAAACGCCAAAACGGTGGCTACTGCCGTAATTACGTATAATTATAATGTTAGTGGTGGTAGTTATAATAATAATAATAATAATAATAATAATAATTGCATGTACTTATCTAGAAAAAATAAGCAAAAAAAAGCAAAAAAAATATACGTATACCGTAACGAGTGTATGCGTGTGCGTGGGTGTTTGTATAACAATCGATCGACGATCGGTGGTGACGTCTATTCGTGTATAAATAATAGATGCAGCGAGTCCCTGGGGTATACCCCTTACCTTGTCGTTGACTCCCAGCGACTAGCGAACGACGACGACGACGACGACGCAGGAAACCTCGAGGAGCCAAAGAACAGTTGCAGCTTTCCTTGTCGCTACCGTGCACACTCTACCCTTCTCTTCCTGTCTCTCCTTGAGGGGGAGTTGCCGTCTTCGACTCTCACGTCAAGAATGTGCAATTGTACTGCTCGGTTGGCTTGTTTAACGATACTCGGGCGAAAATCGTTGTTCAACCGATGGGTGGGTGTTATCTGTTTACCTAGCGTTAACAACTCGTTGCGTCTCTTTGACGTGCAGGGGACGACGACGACGCACTAGACGGTCTGTCCGTCTCGAAGGCACCGTATAGTACTACTCGCTCGCTCGGCTCTGGACCGCCAAGCCAATGTGCAATATAAAAAAAAAAAAAAAAAAAAGGAGCAAGAAAGCGAGAGAACAGCCTGGTCAATGGGAGTGCGCGCCGAGTCTTGCGCAGTGGCGTACACCAGGTCCGCGGGGCTCTCGTCCCGAGGGTAGCGTGTCGACATCTGCTCGGTTGAGTCAGGAGCGCCGATGAACATCTGCTCCATGCTTTCGCTTTTATTTTTTTATTTCCTCATTTTATGTTCCCTTTTCTTTTTTTTTCTTTTTCTTTTTTAAACCAGTTGCTACTATTTTCTACATTAAGAGCAATTGTGCAAGGGTTGCAACTGTTAAGGGGAAGGTTGATCAATACAAGTTACCGATTTTCATACAACACTTACCCTCTTTAGTTGGTAAGTGAGGCTCGCGGCGTTATAAATCGATTAAATCAGTTCACCTGAATAAAACATCGCATTAGCTCTTTATTGTTTACTTGAAATGTTGATATCATGGTGTTCAAAGTTGGGTCTATGATGTCGAAATTTACAAAACTAAGTCATTTATAGGGTGTGTTTTATTCGTGAATTCAAGATGAGAAAATAGTTACTGGTAGTTGATGAGGCAGAGAACCATCTTATCAGTACTAGGTAGTGGACAGATGTAAACTATTTCCTTTTCTCCCTAGCTAATAAAATCCTCAAATGTCAATAATTGATTAAATTTACCATATTTTATTACATAATACAATACATTGTGTACACAATATTTTAAACAAATTTAGAATTAAATTTATACTTATTATTTTACATAAATAAATAATGTATGTATATATTGCGTAGGCCAATAGTTACAGCAAATATCTGATCTTACGTGATACGCTTGTACATGTTCATTGGAAAGAAACGTGATATTTATGATTTTTTTTGTTGCACTATGTATTTGAATTCTACCAGAACTATACTTTTTTATAAACTTAATTAACTTAAACAAGCTTTTTCATTTGTCCAATGTTCAACTGCAGTGGTCGAATAACTTAAAAATAAATGTATTCTTACGTTGGTGATATACAATAGTGTATAAATAGTGAGATTGGAAAAATGACTGTTTAATCTGCCAAGTAGTATACTATTATTTTCTTGAGTGTCGGAGTTAAAACTTTTTTTTTTTCTCCAAATAAAAAATTATTTTTCCCATGTCTTTTTAAATCTTACTCATAAAATCAGACGTTTGCAAAAAAAAGTGACTTTAGAATAACATCATACGTGCACAGAGCGCACGTGAGCCTAGATAAGCTTGACGCTCATACGTCACATATACAGGATTAGAGTCGAGTCTCCATACGATGTATACCTTGTTTTATCACCCCCAACTATACAGAGCCATTTCGTAACGCGAGGGAGATTTCGTGTGATGTATTTATTTTTGGCGTGCACCAGATACATTTTTTTTCATTCAAAGTGGGAATTGGATACAACAGAGTTTATCGGTGTATATTTTAAACGATAAAAGCTAACGTCACGCAATCCTTGAGAATTTTTTCTTTCAATTTTAGAAAAAATTCGTCACGTTATCGCTTGATTTTTACGTTAGCGTATAAAGAACATTACAAGTACTAGTACTCAAGTTTTAAGCTGTTGAGAGTAAGAAAAAAAAACACTGGCAGTTCATTCGTCAAAGCTTTCCTCAATTAATTCTCATTGGTATTTCTTGGTAGGTCAGAAGTTTCACGATTCACTGTATTAATAACTTTTTTGAAAATGTTAATCGTAATTAAAAAAATGTGCTTCTGCTTACTAACTTAATAAGTAATTGCAACGTATAAGTAATTATACACAAACCATAAATGCACAATTATAAAATCACGCAAATATAATTGTGATATTTCCTAATTTAATATTTTATTATAGTAAAAAAAAAAGGGATAACCACTCTAAAATATGTTTGATTCTCTAAAAAATTTTAAGATGTAAACGTACATATATGATTGAATATTCTCAGAATGTACTTATGACTTCCTATTTCTATACAAATCAACCAGAAGTTTACTTCAAGTCTTAAAAAATAATTTAAATACGATTGACATTTTTAAGGAAATTTAATTTAATTGAAAAAAAATATATAGGCAGTTATGAAATAAAAAAAAAAATCTTCATGATCCTCCGTAAGCTCCTTTTTCTCTCATTTTTGAAACTATGATATTATAATTATGCCGAGTGCGTACATTCTGAGCCAATTGCGGAGACACGTCGACAATGTGTAATATAGACTGTGAGTCTGCAAGCTCAGGCGTTTGAGGAATTGGCATTCCCCTGTAATCAAATATCATGAGATTACACGTATCTATTTGGCTTCTTGATCCATAATAACCTCATGCATACGTAACACGCAAATTTCAGGGTAATATTGTCACTCTGATGATTATACGCCGCGTATTATACACATTCGACTCGCTACTGAACATATTTAAACCAACACGTAAATTATTTGAGATATTTATACTAATCACCCAAACTTTCTTGCGAGCTTTTTTTTAAAAATCTTATTAACCCTCACGTAACATCAGTATTATTTTACGCTGCTAGCTATCGTGACTTAAAACTTACGAAGCCACGTTGCCGTCTTTTCTAAATAATATTAAAATCTTTATTCAACTTACTCATGCGAAACGTAATTTTTTATGGGTTTTCATACAATATCTTCAAGGTTCAACCAATTAAAATAAATGATAAATTCACATAGCATCCCCGAAAAAAGTCGAGAGCAAGCGTCCAGCTCATCGGCTGTAACTTTTTCCGAATTAACGAGCTCGGGGGAAAGGAAGGAGAAGATCTTTGAAACCGTGACCGATTTTCCGGGAGCGCCCGTTTTCATTTGCCGAGAGAAAAGCCCACGGAGTACCTTACCCCGCTTCCTTCTAACCGGCCGATCTCGGCGTCGAGTCGTGAAAAACGATTCCTCTCGGATGCACGGGGTAAAAAAGCCCTAAAAACACGTCTCGACGATGCGCTAAATAAGGAATTCACCAATGAGGTAACGCAATCAACAAAAGAGATTTATCAAGTAATTATACGTACTGTAAAAATTTAAAAGATGTAAGATGGCCATCGCCGTTTTTCGATAACCCGAAATACGAAAGGAAAGTCGATTCCCCAGAGCCATAATTTCCAGCGATCCGGCTGCAAGAGATCTCATTCCGAGCTGGTACACACCACGACCACCATCAGCGGCAGCCGCGATTCGTTCGACCTCTCGGAAAGAGGAAAAATAGCATCACATATAAGAGCCAAAGAGGAGGGAGCTAGCGACTGGTATACGTATAGTGCACTCTCAGTTTCCTCCTCCCTCGCTCCTTCTCTCGCGCGAGTGCACCGACAAGCCCATAAAGAATTCAACTGACCTCCCAGTGCACGTAGGTAGGGTCAGCGGTGCTGCTGCCGGCCAAGAGAAACGAGTAGTTCGCCCACCCTTACCCCTTTAATGGAGACAAACACCCCGTCCAGGCTGGTGTTGCCCCCCCAACGCGTACAGCCATCCCCGTCGCGGAAAAATCTTTCCCTCCCATTGTCTGGTTTTCTAATTTTGTTACTCCGTGTGCTCGATGAATCACACGTGCTGGCAACAGACTGACGTTTCGTATCGATTTGTGTTGGCAACGTGATGTGTATTTATACTCCACGTGGTATCCCAGTGCCCATCAGAAAAGGTTTTTTTTTTTTTTTTCAATTTACTTGGCCAAGCCACCTATAGCTGACTCGTTAGTTCCATTTGCATTTTTTTCTCATGCATAATGGCGCGATAATGCCTCGGCGATAAATCTCCGGTGTACAGCGTACACGTATGTATATGTGTATGCATAACATCGCGAAAAGAGCAGATTCTTGTTTGAAAACTTCGGGGTGAGGTATTTCACGCAGCCCCGGCCGATCATGCGTACACGGGGAGCTTTGATTTTTTCTTTCCCTCCCGAGAAAACTTTCGGGAGGCGGCGCACATTCTCTCGGGTGAAAATTTAATTCAAGAGCTCTTGGGGCCCTCTCATCCTTTTCGGGGCACGCGAGCGATGAAAAATACCCGCGCAATTAATCTCCCCTGTCCCTGACAGCCAAGTGGGACGCGGTAGCTCGGAGCCGAACAAACGCTCGAGCGTATAAAAGCGCGGCTATGAGGTGGGGCTTTTTACCATAATAAGATGTCGACCAATCGTTTTAGTTTTCTCACTTTGCAAATGTTTACGAAAAAACCGTACTCGTAGATACAATCATCAACGACTACACAGTGAGTTTCCTGTGGTTTTTCCACCTCTTCGTACTACAAATATTTGATGAATGTTTTTCTCCATTTGTCGAAAGTTGAAACAAAATGTCGAACAAAAGAGTCGGAAGGCCATTTTCAAAGCAATTCTGTGAAAAATTTTTAGTCAGGGCATGTATATAATATATGTACGCGCAGAAATCCCGCAGTACACAAGTTGATAAAAACATTTCCATGCACGGCTGTGGAAAAAAAAAAAAAAAAAACCCACCCCCCCAAATGTATCGAGCAAGTACATTGTACAGCAGAGTATGAATTCGCGTCACGGTTTGTATGCATTCATACGTCGGAGCGTTAAAACTTTATGGGGTGGGCTATATGTACGTATATACCGACTGCAGAAACGTCAAGTCTCGGCGCGCCTTCGAGATTCATGTAATATTAACAAAACTTGGCGAGAGCCCCCGGGCGCGTAATGCATTTCAGCATTTGAATGACAAATCAGGACTGTTTCACGCTGCTTCGAATCGGTTTAAACTTTTTCCCCCTCCCTTCCTTCCTGCAGCGCAGAAAGAACGGATAGTCGCGATGACGGAACTTTTTCCCCCAAAGCTACTTCCCTCGAGCCCCTGCGTTACACTCGATCGCGGTCGCGAAGCAGATGAAGGTAAGAATCTTCATATTCGATGCAAATCCGGGACTTGCCGGTGAAAGCGGATTATTTTCCTTTCGGGGAGGCGGCACACTGCTCCGCGGAAATACGATCGCCGTCCGAGGCTGC